CAAAACAAACAAGCAAAAGCATCTATACTAATAAACAATGTCATGAAGCATTAGACCATGAAGAGAATATCCTAAAAGCTTCTTTAAAAAGGTTGCATTTAAAAAAATTAAGAATCAGAATAACAGGAGACTTACCAAAAACAAAAATAGAACATAGAAGATGGTAAAACAATAGCTTCAAAATTCTGAGGGGGAAAAATGACGTCTAACCTAGATTTCTTTAGCTAGAAAAACTATCAATCTAGTTTGAAACGGAATACATTTTTAGACGAGCAATTTCTCAAATAATTACAATTTCAAGCTTACTATCTCAGGGAACTACTGGAGGATAGATTCTACCAAAATTAGTAAATAAACTAAGAATGAGGAAGAAATTGGGTCCAACTCAGGAGAAAGAAGAAAGGACAATGTGAATAGAAAGGATGACTAGAGACCCATGGTTAGTTGTGCAACAGCCCTAGAGATCAAACAACTTGCAATGGAATAGGAAAACAGACAGCTCCCAAAGGGAAATCTTCAAGAAGCTAAGCGAATGAAATAAATTGTTACGAACTCCAAAAATAAAAGAAAATTAAAAATCATAATATACAACGTAACTTAGTTGTGGATAATACTTATAGTTGTAATAATGCAAACATTAATATTAATCTAATTGAAAATGGTAACATATTCATATTGAGAGGATGGATGGTAAGGAAATAAATGAGTAGTGGGGCAGAACTGGGGAAGTAGGAGAAATAGCTTTCATACAAGAATGTAAATATTTAATATCTAAAGCCAAAATTCAGGTTAGCAGCTAAGTATGTTTTCAAGAAATAAGAAAAAATGCCAGAGCAAACATGATTTGAAAGTAGTTACTTCTGGGAAGTGGGTATGAGGAGTACATACAGGAGAACACTGATTCATTTTAGCTTTTTAAAACTATTTGACTTGTAAAACTAGTCGTGTGTGTGTTTTCAAACACAATTTTAAAATAACATAAGTTTCCATTGGTGGGGATATAAAATGGAGCAGCTGCTATAGAAAAGAGTATAGCAGTTTCTGAAAAAGTTAAAATAGAATTGTGTAATCCGACACCTCCACTTCCGGGTATATATTCAAAAGAATGATAGAAGGATCTTGAGTGGATATTTGTACACCCAAGTTTATAGCAACATTATCTACAATAGCCAAAATGTAGAGACAATCCAAGTGACCATAAATGGATGAATTAATAAAAAAAAATGTGGTATGACATGAATGGACACTTGAGGACATTGTGCTAATGAAATAAGCCAGTGACAAAAAGTCAAATACTGTATGATTCCGCTAATATAAGGCATCTAGAGTAGTCAAACTCATAGGAACAGTAATAAAGCATTTATTTAAAAGAACTCACAAAGCCCTGGCTGGGAAGCTCAGTTGGTTAGAGCGTAGTCCCGATACACCAAGGTTGCAGTGCAGGTTCAACCCTCAGTCAGGGCACATACAAGAAACAACCAATGAATGCATAAATAAATGGAACAACAAATCAATGTTTCTCTCTCCCTCTCCCTCTCAAATAAAAAAAAAAACACACAAACTCACAAAGATGCCATTAATTAGATGGTATTAAATTGACTAATTTTAGGACTCATTCACCAAATATGAGAATATGTTTAAAACAATTCATTGTGAATTGTGCAATTTAAAGTTATAAATTCCCCTAATATTTATAAATGAAATTTAACCTGCATTAGTAACTCTGCATTTTATAGGCCACTAAAAATCTCAAAGAAGTCTATAATGATAACTGAAAAAGTAGTGCCACATCTATCTGTACAGTAATTTTGGTGCAGTGACATCTCAAGACAATTGTTATTACCAGTTAGATGAAGAAAGTCACAAGAACTCAGAGAGTTTAAAAACAGCTAAATTGACCAATGCACTGTTCTCTAGTAGACAAACTCAAATATTATATGTAGGGTTTCAGTCACAATATTACCCATAGATCAGAGTACTGCTATACATTACACAATTTGATTTCTTGTCTTTGACAGGTATCTTCCCCAAGACACTGGCAACTTGCTTGACTTAGTTTTTTTGAATCAAAAAACTAAGGAGCTTATTCTAACTTTGATTTTTGAAGGCGGCTATTTGTTTTCAAAGTTTCAAAGAGATAAAACTAATGGTTTTAGTGGTTGTGGAGTACACAAATGGGGACCACACAAATAATTATTTCATAGATTTTATCCATGTTCCTTGATTGGGACAAAATCTGTATTATTTATATTTCTATGGATTGAGGTTTACATGAAAACAGTTTTTTTGGGTTTTTTGCTAACATTAAGAAGTCTGAATTATAAAATCTTTATAAATGATTTAATGGATTGAAACTGTATTTGCTATAAATGACTATTTTTGAAAGTGAATTACTACTAAAATCTAATACAAACTTCATACAAAACAATTTACCCCCTTTGAAACTATTTTGATGGAAAGATATTTTGTCATTTCCATTAATATGTAATTTAAAAATCTTCTTAAAAATCTTACAAATTCACTCTATTTTTTTTAAATCTTCACTCGAGGATATTTTTTCCATTGCTTTTTTCAGAGAGAGTGGAAGTAAAAAAGAGGGAGAAACATCAATGTGAGTGAGACATACCAAATTGGTTGTCTCCCGCACTCGCCCCAACAGGGACTGAGTGTGCAACCAAGGCCACTTCAGTCCACAGTCTAATGCTCTAACCACTGAGCCAAACCGGCAAGGACACAAATTCACTCTATTTACGACATTATAAAATAACTTCAAAGATAGTGAAAGCTAGAAGTTACAATCATAGCCTACAAATTGATAATTTTCATTTACTAAACCATAAAATTTTTATTTTAATAATGCCAAGATATGAAATCCACTTTTACATGTCATTAGAATGACAAATGTTTTGAAGTCCATATTCTTTAGCCTTCAACACAAATAGTATACCTATTGGATACAAGAACAGATAAAAATCAGACAATCAAAATGTCCATTAACTGGTAAATGGATAGATTGTGCTACTCATATAATGGAATATTATATAGTAATAAAAATTAATGAACTGTGGCTACACTTATCTGCATGGGTGAATTTTAAAGTTTTTCAGCAAAAGAAGGTGATGGAAGAATACATATAGTATGGTTCCACTTACATAAAATTTAAAAGGAGGCAAAACTAAGCAGTGCAAAACTGTAAATACAAACAAGGGAATGAAGAACAGAAAATCTAGGATAGTGGTACCTCTGGGGGAGAGAAGTGAATGTAATCAAAGAGGAGCCACAGTGGGTATCAAAGTTATGAGTATTGTTCTTAAAGAGAAGCGGTGACTACATGGGTATTAATTACTCATCCTTAAATATATACTTTGTTGTTTTTAAATTTGTCTTTATTGTTGAAAGTATTACAAATGTCCCTTCCCCCCCCCCATTGATTTCCTCTACTTTGCACCCTTCCCCCTAGACCTTCAACACTCTATTGTCCATGGGTTGTGCATATGTGCATATAAATTCTTAGGTTAATCTCTCCCCCCACCCCCACCCCTGCTTTCCCTCTGAGATTTGTCAGTCTGTTCCATGCTTGTGTGTCTCTGGACCTATTTTGTTCATTGGTTTATTTTGTTCATTAGATTCCACATATGAGTAAGATCATGTGATACTTGTCTTTCTCTGACTGGCTTATTTTGCTTAGCATAATACTCTCCAGGTCGCATCATGCTGTCTCAAAGGGTAAGGGACCCTTCATTTTTACAGCTGCATAGTATTCCATGGTGTAAATGTCCAAGAGAGGAAAGAAAGTAGAGACCTGTATGTAGACAACTCATTTTGAAGAGGCTTGACCTTGATTGGGGCATAAGGAAATAAAAGAGTAGATTTGGAAAATACGTGGATGTTTAGAAAGACTTTGTTTTGCTCTTATGCTTTTTAAGATAGGAAAAGAGAGTATCTGAATGGCACAGAAAGAAAGGTTCTATTAGAGGGGAGAAGTTGAAGAAACAGAAAAGGAGACAACTGATGAAACAAGTTACTTGAGTACTCTGAAGAGGTTGACCTTTGATAGGAGGTGGGATTCAACCTAATTTCAATCAAAGTGGAGTAGGGAAGGATAGAAACAGGTGCAGCAGATTTATACATTTGGTGATGGGAAACCAAAGTATATCACATCTGATGGCTTGTTCCATCTCTTGAACGAGGTAAGATCATTAGCTGAGAAGGAAGCATCAGAACTGTTTTAAGAAAAAGTGAAAGTATATAAGAGAACAGACTGACCACGGATAAATGCAGGTGCTTTCTTGGACATTTCACCTCACCTATTTCCCTTGTCTCTGCCGAGAACGCATTTCCTCTTCCTTTTCTCCCAGAAAGTCTTCCCATCCTTCAAGACTCACCTTATCTTCTATGTCCTCTGAAACCTTTTCTATTCCATGGTAATCCTTTCCTTAAATCTTACACTTCACTGTATCACTCATGTTTCACTTACTAATGGACTGTCTTGCAGTAACTCTTTTGTGTTGTACATGATTTAATTTTTGTGTGTTGTCTCCTTAACTACAGTTCTTGAGGGCAGAAATTCTTTCATTAAACAGTCCCTCCCTCTTTCAGAAGAAGTGTATTCTTGTACGCACCGTGAACATCAGGATGTATTTCCTAAATGTCATCTACTGAATCAAATATCCTTAAAAACAAATGATAAAATAACTAAGAGTGAACTTTGAAACCTCCATTATTTTCTTAAAACTGCTTCTGGTTTTCAATTTTTGGTTTTAGAACTTACTTTTTAGAAGTTAAGCCAGAGAGCCAAGGTTAACACATAATTGGTTTGCATTTTTAAAATTTTAAACAAAGTATTGATGCTCATACTATTAATTTTTTTTCTTATAACTTCTAATGTTTTTTTCATGGAGGTAGTTCTCTCAGAAAAATGAGGTGAAATGTTATCAGCAAAGACAGATTATGTTAGGAATGCCATCTTGTGGTTGAGAATAGTCCATTACACTAACAGGTCCTTTCAATGACAACCTTTAATTCAGAAATAAAACATTCAGCAAATTCACTAACATATGGTTAAAATGTATTATTACTACAAAGAAAGAAAAAGTAAATATGTGCATCAATTGTGTGTGGTTTCAGTTCTCAAAAAAGACAATGTTCATTGAAAAGAAAGACAACTGGTTATAGAGGAATGGACTCCAAATAATACAGGGAACTGCTACCTATAACTATAAACATACTTCTATTAAAAATATTAAAATACACTGAATTTTGGAAAAATTTTCTCTTGAAATATGTCATTTTATTTCTGAATCTACTACAAAGTAGTTGATTATTACATCCTGGATTTAAATCATGTGTCTTGATTTTCAAGCTACATCACTCTAACTATAAACATCCAAAGGGAAGTGAAGGACAGAGCACTTATCTAATTTGGATGGTGTGACATATACATAATGATTTGTAGCCCAAATAGATTCCCAGTGGAGTTAAAACACTGGCTCTTAGTAGGTAAGCTTACTACTTCCTCCATACAAATTAGCCATTTGAGCAGCAAATTATTTTTCTCATCAACAGAGAAGTAGTAATGGTTATAGATGTAGTAAACAACTGAGCTTAAATATTTTAATTGTCAAATTGAATACCAGGCATTTTGGTCCACCTAAAAGTGGGGGTAGGAAGTGAAAACCGATGTATCCCTCATGAGTAAAAAGCACAGCACAACAGCACATGGGGCCATGTATTATGCTACCTTTTCATCACTTCAAGAGTAAGGATCCAAAAGAGCATGTGCAGGTACAAAGTCCAGTCCTAGAGATTAGGCTATTGAAATTCCAAAAGATAATATAGACGTAGATATTTAAATTTTTAAAAATGTTATTTTACTCCAAATCAACTTTCATGATTTATTATTGCATGCTTATTAACAGAAAAAAATATTTTACTCAGGAAACTTGCATGAATTGATTTTGTATTAGTTTTTCCACATGACTCTTCAGGGCATTCACATCAGCTGCACAGACCTGATACTCCATCTTCTCTTGCTGTTTTGTTCTCTCTAATAAAGCCTCATGTGGTGGAGGTAATGCATTGTATGAACTCAATAAATAAAGCTGACTTGACGAAGTTTGGTTGATTTGTTGAATCTTTAAAGCCTGCATGATAACAGGTGCAAACTTTGAGTAATGAGCTGTAGATGAGACAATTACTGGGCAAGTTTTGTCTTGCATTCTGTCGGCAACCACTTTTGCAACAGCAGTGTGTGGATCCAAAATATACCCTGAAGTATTGTAGGTGGAGTGAATAGCTGCTAGGCACTCTCCTTCAGTGCACCAGTCGGCTATAAAATCCTGCTGAAGTTTCTCAAGTAGAATCTTCTCTATCTGAAAGTGATGCTGCTCTTCTAATTGATTAAATAATTTTGTCATTAATTGCCCATCTTTATTAGACATCAAGTGTAAATATCGTTCCAGGTTTGAAGATTTAACAATATCTATTGCTGGTGAAAAAGTTTGTGCTAGTTTTCTTTCCCTTAGATCATAATGTCCTGTTTTTATAAAATCAGTCAAAACATGGTTCTGATTAGAGGCACAAATAAATTTTCGAATAGGAATTCCCATCATTTTAGCATACACTGCAGCTAAAATGTTACCAAAGTTTCCTGTGGGAATACAGACATCCACTGGGCTTCCAAATGAAATAAATCCTTGGCTAACGAGATCAAGATATGCAGAAGCATGATAAACTACTTGGGGAAGCAGTCGGCCCCAGTTTATAGAATTAGCTGAACTTAAGATTGTTCCATATTCCACAGTAAGAAAGCCAGTAAAATCAGAATCTTGAAAAATTCTTTTTACAGCTGTCTGGCAAAAATCAAAATCTGACTTGACACCCACTGCCCATCCATTTTCTTTCTGACTGCCAATTATTTGTGCTTTTTGAAAATCACTTACTCCGTTCTCAGGAAAAAATGTGGCCACAGCTATTCTCTGCTTGTCATTCTTATTAAGAAGACTAAAACCATTTAAAACAGCACTCCCTGTGTCTCCTGAAGTTGCTACAAGTATCATATAATTACAACTTGGTGGAATACAGTGTGCAAAAAGATGAGGCATAAGCTGTAAAGACAAATCTTTAAATGATCCTGTTGGTCCATAAAACAACTCCAGGATGAACTGGTTGCCTGAAAGGTGCCTGACAGGGGCAATTTTTGAGCAGACAAAGTTTTCCCCATAAGCAGTTTCAATCATTTCTCCCAATTTGGCAGCAGGTATGTCAGCAGGATGTATACACCTTTCTAATAGTATTTGTGCTCTTTCTATGTAGGTTGCTCCTACTAGGCTTTTCCACTCCCCACAGTTTAATTTTGGAAATTCCTTCTCGGGAACAAATAGTCCACCATCAGAAGCTAACCCCTCAGTCACAGCATCGCTAAAGAATTTCCTTGAAACCTTCTGTTCACAGTCTTTAGGCCAAATGTGTCTTGTTGAAATTAATGTTTCTGAGTCCACATCTTGGTATCTTTTAACTGCATTAAGCACTTTGTCAGCTACCTCCTCTGGGGAAGCCCCACTTTCACAAAAAACGCGGGTATCGTACCACTTCTTATAATACTGTCTTCTAAATTTAAGTAAATCTATCATAGATGTTCCAGAATTCTGACCTACAATCCTATCTATTTTCATTAATTTTAGTCGACTAACTATATCTATTAGAGGTACATCCAGGTATACAATTATTCCATTTTTCTTCAGATGCCACATGCTAGCATCATGCATTGGATTAGACCCAGTAAGGGAAATCACACTTCCAGATGCAGAGAAGTTTAACACAGCTTTTCCTTCCTCTTCTAAAAATTGTTCATTACCAACATCCTGTAATTTTTCAGACACACTCATATTCCAGGTTTTTTCAAGGATATCATCATCCACATCTATGACACAACAACCTAGTTTCAGCCCTATTATTCTGCCTACTGTTGTTTTCCCAGCTCCAGGCGGTCCCATCAGGATAATATTTTTGTCTCCAACAAGAGAGTGGGTTGAGTGACATGACTTCCTTAATTCTGCAAGTGCAAAGGTTCTTGAAAGAAATAGCTGTGCATGTTTATCCATTTTAACACGTATAACAGAAAAACATTTCTGGATTATTTGTTTCAGATGCTGAGATCGGTTAAAGTGGAACATTCTCTTTTCACTTTTCTGCCCAAGCCAACCTAAAAACTGGCTTTAGCCCTTTTCAAAACATAAAAACAAAAAAAGACATTTGGTTACTAATTTCAACAGACTTAAAATCCTGATAGGAGTAAATATAACCATGCCCACAATACATAAACTATTTAAAAATCTTCCAAATTTATGGGACATTTAAAAAAGTAGTTGAACCCAAATTCCCATATATTGCATATTATATTTTTTAAAATCTTTTCAAATCTCAAGACATTGAGTAATCAAAATTTTAAGAATTTGTAACAATTAAGCAACAGGAACTTTATTCAGAAAATGCCATTATCAGAGGTGCTTTTAAAAATATATACTAAATCAAATTAGTATTTCTTTTAAAATTAAAATTGAAAATTGTTTTATGGTTTATAACACATATAATAAGGGTTATTTGAAGCTGGAATATTATTTGCTTAGAATTCACAACAGCTGATTAATACTCTTTAGATTTAATTTCTCTTTAGTTATATGAACATGTTGATAGACTATCATGTTACTCATAAATTTCTTACAGTATTCACAACAGGAAACCAGAATAAAATATTTGCTTATAAAATGCTTAAATAACTTTCCAAACTATAGGGCAAAAATATATTTTCTTTCTATGTGCCTTTTCTGTGCATACTGTTAAGAATCATTCTTACATATTTTTCATATTGAAGACCTTCAAAAAAAGCTAAAATGAAAGGTATAACATTACGCAAACAGTTAAAGTGATTATCAGCAGCAAGGTCAAAGGCTACATATCTATAACCTTATCTGCATGGGACCATCACTTTGGCGTCTGTCTTATAAACATCATCAGTGGAGAAACTTAATTCAAATTCCGGACTCCAAAGTGATAGCAAAAAAACTCAAGAATGTTATCAATGACAAGAGGAAAAATTTATTCTGGAATCCAAAGTGACTGCAATTCCCCATACTGGTCAAATCCCTGTTTTTGAAATATACTCACCATTAAAACACAAATGTAGGCCAGACATGTCAAAATTTTATTCACACGTAAAATGCAAGTTATAACTTCTGCCACGTTCATTTAAATTAGGGGTGAGGAAAGTCTGGCCCGCAGGCCATATACAGCCCTCGAAATCCTTTGGTCTGTCCCTGCCAAGGCAACCACAGGTGGGGCTTGAAATTCAGTAAGTCTAGGAGCTTTTTTCATAGATAATTTTTAAGTTGATAATTTTGTATGGCCCACAAATGATGTTATAAATATCTAAATGGCTGTTGGCAGAAAAAAGGTTCCCTGCCCCTGATTTAAGCTAAGGTAACTTGACTGCTGGGTGGGGCTTTTCACATTCTGTGGTAGAACCAAAATGCAACTAAACCATATTAAATATTAGGTGGTACGTTTAAATATGTTCTGAAAACTTTCAATCATTTACTACTCTGAATATCAATTCTACTTAAACTTTGTTCTGTAATTCCCATTTAAATCATTTTAAGCTAACACTGAATTTAATTTACAAGTTAAATTGCAACTGTCAGGAGACGGAACATATTTCCTTATTTGGCTTTTCAGCTTGTATGTGCTGTGCTTAATTCCCAGTGACTTGTAAACATACAATACACACGTACCAATCCTAGATGAAGAGTTTGTTGCTGCTGAGGCAAAGTCAATCTTCACAAAAAAGTAGAGTCTATAATGGAAAAAATTTCAAGTTAACCATAACCACATACAGTATCACAAAATCCCACACATAGCCTATTATTAAAATGTCCACCTGAAATATTTAAAGTGCAGAAAAATAATGAATTGACCTCTTTTTAAGTTTCCCAAGTCTTTTATAAAAATATGAAGATACTGCTTTTTTCAACATGTCTTATCATAGAAAAGAATTTTACTAAACAATACCGAAGAAATTTCTGTCATCAAGCAATATAAAAGACAATATAGTAAAATATATAAAATCTCCCACAATGACACCTAAAATTTTAAGGATTTAACTGTATGTTTAGTGATCAGAGGAAAATAAATCAGTGGACTAAAGCTATGAAATGAGTGTCTGAATTACTCTTTTAGGTTGTTTTATCCATCTGAACCATGACATGATTTGTATGAAATAATACATACTGTAAAAAGCACAAATGAAGCATCTGCCACACACAGGTACCTCTTAACTATTGAAATGTTTATAATAAATTCAAAGCATATGCTGGCACATAAACATATTCATATATATAGTAACATTAATCATAGTCACTCAATGACAATGGAATAAAAACATATAAATTGAATCAGAATATCTGGGCACAAGGCTAGGTTTTTGGTTTTTTTTAATGATTTGGTTTATTGATAAGTCTTCAGAGAAAACAGTGGTACTCACCTGTAAATCAACTGTTTTGACATACACAGTCTAATCCTTTCCCTGGAGTAAACCAAGGACCAGAGAATTGTATGTTTGAACAATATCAGCAATTTCTTTTATTAAACTGAATTCTGAAACTATAAACTAGCTAATTTTGAGGGGCTGTATATAAAACAGTCTGATTAACCTCCTATTCAGGAGGCTTTTGCTAATAAAATCACAATGTCTTCTATTTTTAGTTCCCAATGTATAATTTCTGATGTCTGTATTAGTAATAACAGTTGGTTTGTTTTTATGGACACTAAGTCTTTTTTTTTTTAATCCCCACCCAAGGATATGTTTTTTAAGCTTATTTTTAGAAACAGAGGAGGGGGGGGAAGGAGGAGAGAAACATGGAGGAGAGAAACATTGATCAGTTGTCTCCTGTATGTGCCCCTATGGGGGATGGAAGCCAAAACCTTTTGGTGTATGGGACGATGCTCCAACCAATTGATCTTTTCTTCCACTTTATGTTGGTTGCTACAATACTTAATATCAACTCCATTAAAAGTAAAAGACTATAACACAAACATTTGTGTTAACTTCACCTTATCTTTTGTAACCATACTTTCCTTTTATATGAATTTAAAATAGAAAATTATGGCCCTGGTCAGGTGGCTCTGTTGGTTGGATCTTAATCCTGTACATCAAAAGGTGGCAGGTTCAATTCCCAGTCAGGGAACACACCTAGGTTATAAGTTTGATCCCTGGACAGGATGCATATAGGAGGCAACTCATTAATGTTTCTCTTTTTCTCTCTTCCTTCAACAGAAAAAAGGCATATCCTCAGGTGAGGATTAGAAAAAAAGAAAAAAAGAAAAAAAATCATGACAGTTCAATTTATTAATTCTCTATCAATATTATTTCACCATAAAAATCTTCCTGACTCTAGAAAAATGCTGTTAAGTGTTATAACATGTAACAAGTATCATTTTTAAAGAAAAATAAATAAGATGAATTCTATTTTATGCTACATACTAAATTTTGTTTTGTAAGATTTAGCCACAAACTAATTTTAGGGTTTCAACATCCATTGTAAACAATCCAAATGACAACAGAAGATGGACTAACGCCCACAGCATGTAACTTTTATCTGGAAACTGAATTTTACTTAAGAAATACAGTTAATCTTTGTTATTCATGGTAGGTGTGTTCTATCTAGTCACCAGGAATACTGAATTAGTGAATATTGAACCACTGCTTCTAGGGGAAGTACAGGGTTAGGTCTCTGCGAGCCTCTGGTCACAACATTTTTGCCAACTGATCAATACATAACCTTGTTTTATGTGTGTTTTTGTTTCAAGACATCTTCCTTAACATATATAGTTGATTCATTACCAATGAACTCACAGCCAACAGCACTCAACTCATGACTGAATGAAGCTAATCTAACACACATTTTCTCTGTAAGGCACATGACAGCACTGTTGCCTCAGGAACACCAGGCAGTAAGTACTTCAGCACGCTTCTTGGGGGCCATTTTAAACAGCAAAATCACCAACTTGAACAGGAGTGGGGAAACTTTTTTCTGCCAAGGGCCATTTGGATATTTATAGCATAATTTGTGGGCCATATAAAATTATCAATTTAAAAATTAGCTCTGCAAAAAGCTCCTAGATTTACTGAACTATGAGTCCCGACTGCACTTGCCTTGGTAGGGCCAGACCAAATGATTTCTCAGGCTGTATAGTCTGTGGGAAGGACATTCCCCACCCCTGAACTAGAAGCACAAAAATGTGAAAAATGTAGCACTAAATAGAATGTGAAAAGGACACTTGTCTACAGTATGAAAGCTAAAACAAGAAGGCAGAGGGTGACTTTGACTTCAGCATGGAACATGCACATTAGGCAACTCAAATTCTCACCACTGTGTGCATGTTCGTAAATGACCACAAAAGTGCTGCAAGTATAATTTGGGGTTATAAATAAATTTTAGCCAGAACTCACAAATATAAACCTGTGAAAAGTGAGGATCATCTGTATATCATTTTTCTTTATTATTCAAAACCATGTTATTAGACAGTTTTCATTTATTTAAACGTTAACGTTTTTCAATATAAGGTCATGATTGGGCAGTTTTTCCTTAGCCAAAGCACAAAACTATTTCAAATTAAATGAAAGTCAATCACAGAGGAGTCAGAAAGCAAAAACAGTACTTAAAGACCAAATCTCGGATGATGGGAGTCCTAATATATGGTGAAGGGAGAAGATTTGACTTTGGGTGGTGGACACACAGTGCAATATACAGATCTTGTAATATAGAAACCAACACCCAAAACCAATATGATCATATTAACCAATGTCACCCCAATAAATTTAAATAAATAAGTGGCTAATTCTAAAAAAAAAAAAAGGGGGGGACCAAATCTCTTGGCCATAAAATTATCTAGCTTCCAATTCCTCTGGGAAATTGTCAAAATCCTACCTAGTCAAAATGATTCAGCATTTTTCACTCATTTAAAATATTTGTTATTGTATACTCCTCTAAAATCAAGTAAGACACAGCACTTCAAATATTATTTCCTGATGAGAAATGGCTATAGTTCAATGAACTTCTGTTTGTCATCCAGTATTAATGCAATCTCTATTTAAATTTCTCAGGTGAATGACTAAACCTAGTCCACTATCTTGTGAAGAAAGATATTGAGGTTTTTAAAAATTCTTAAAAATTACTGCATTTTTACAGCATTAAGTTGTTTCCCAAGTAATAAGAACAAATGAAGATATACTAGGACATAAACTAATGGTGGGTGGGGGTAAAGCTCTGCTGCTTCTGACTACTGAACAAAAATCCTCTCAACAACTCCTACTTCCATAGAAATTGTGAGGTGGAGAGAGTGAAAGGACCACACACTCCAATGCCATGTTGAAATCATAGGGATCTTACAAGTTCACTCAGCCACTCAGCCACTCAACATTGCCTTTATCTTAGAATCAAAGCTCTAAGCATTTCCTGTTGTTTCCTTTTGTTGTTAGGTAGCCTATTAATGGTCTTGAGTATTTATTCAAGACTTTTGTAAGTACACTTTTCCACTTTATAACTTAGAAAAAATATTTTAAAGTATATGTTTTTATAAAGGGTTTATTTTCCTTTATTTCCCTCCCAATTATCTTACTGTATTCCCACCGACACCCATTTTATTCATCTAAGTAGATTACAATAATCTTTAGCAAAAAAAACCCCAAGCTACTTTGTATATACAACCATTTATATCAAGAGTCTGTGCCAACTACAACCCACAGGCCAAATCTGGCCCACCACCCATTCAAAGGAACACAACTCTGCTTTCATTTGTTCATGTGTTTAGTACTGTCTTTGGCTGCTGATGAGCTACAATAGTAGAGTTGAGTAGTTTCAACAGAAACCATCTGGCCTGCAAAGGCCTAAATATTTATTAACTAGCCCTTTTCAGAAAAAGTTCCTGACCTCTGACGGTATACCAACACTAATTTCCTGTGGCCATACTGGACATAGGCATTTCCTTGAAGAGTATTGCCATTTTGAGGGAATTATAGAAATTAAAAATATATTCTTTGTAAACATACTTTCAAAAAACAAGAATTACAGACCAAGCATCTAAGAAGAAAAAAGTTCCTTTCCAAATAATTGAACAACTTCCATCGTAACTGTAAGCTAAATATACTATAGTGAGATCTTAAATTCTGTTTAGTAATTTTAAAAACCACAATAAATACATTAGCATCAGTGAAAATACTGTATTCAGGTACACAAGGAAGTCAAGACTAACTAAGGCCAGTTGGTGCTTACTAACTGGAGAACTGGTTTTCTTTGCCCTTACTGACTCCTAAAGGAACTGATTAACATAAACTGTCCCAAGGTGTTCCTTCTAATTAGAAAATTTATAAGCTTTGGCCAATGACTATCCATTTCGCTAATAGTATTATCATTATGAGTGCTTACTTAAAATCTTAACATGTATAGAGAACATGATTTTTCTCTATGCACGCTAAGCCAAAAAAAAATCCACAAACAAAAAAAAAAAACATCAAAAAATTCTCAAAGGAGAACAAAAAGGACAAAGTAGTATATACACACGTTTTGAAAAATAGAAAGTTTGATGTGAAGAATAAGAGAATCATCCCCAAGGTGTCACTGACATGAAGTAAAATTATTTTTTAAATGCCTGGGATAAAAATTAACATCTCACCAACTGGCTAAGAAAACACTAAATTTAGACTTATCTAATGAAACTCACTATGATCTCCAAATGATAAGGAGCACCGCCTTTTTAGTAGGAACTAAAATGTTACTTAAGCCACCATACTGTTTTAATTCCTGTACAGAGCAGCCTGGCAGTGCGACGACCGGAAGTGGTGCCCTGTCCCCTCTTCAAGCATCTTCGTTCTCTTGGACAGAGTAGCCACAGTAAGGCTGATTCAGACCCGTGTATATCTCCCTTCCCAAATCACAATGCCAAAACGTCTTTTAGAGACTGGGACGGCAAAACCTTTTCAATGAGTTCCTCTCAGCGGTCACACGTATAAATTGGTTTATGGAAGGCCAAACGTGTTGAGAACAGAAAAAAAACGCCTCACACAAAGACAATTTCCAAAAAGGGACACCAAAAAAATGGGGAAAAACTAAAGGGCCCATATACAAGGCTTCCTCTGGCTGAGGCTGCTCGTTTAAAAAACAAAGTCCACACAGTCGTGGAGAAACGCTAAGAGGTGGGGCCCGATTAAGAGGGAAACAGGGCGGGAAGCGGCGAGGCGCGGAGCCCGGGGAGAAGCGGGCGCGACAGGTGGGTGGCGAGCTCCGGCCAGCCCGCGGGGAAGCGCCGAGGACCGGGCGGTGACCACCACCGCGCGGCAGAAGGGGGACGGCACGAGGGCGGAAGGCATGCAATGGAGCAGACTGGGGTCTACAGCCTCCCTTTCTTTCTCCTCAGACAACTCACCAAGAAAATCACACTGAGAAGACGGGGGAAAGGGAAAGAAATGGGAGGGGGCGTCCGGAGCCGCCAGGATCGCGTCGGGGCGAGGCCCACACCTCTGGCGCTCGCTCCCCCACCAGCGCAGCCCAGGCCCGAGCCCTGGTCAGCA